TGATAGTGATGAGTTAATTACTTTATATCTGTGAAGATTTAAAGACCTCTCTTATCATTTATATCCAGTGATTATTCTTGTAGCTGTTCTAATGATTACTTTTTATTCAATCTCATCACATTTCGCAAGCTTCAATAAAAAGAAACATCATTTGATTATTTGCATAATTTCCTGTATGAAAACACACTTTCAAGCACAGAAATGAGCCAATTTTTAAATATGGCTATTACTTTTTTCTCCCTCTCTTTACGTTGTTCTTTTTTTTGTTGGCTTTGCATTAGACTGTTCTCTTGAACTAGTTTCTATTTAGTATTTATCCAGTACATAATTAATATGACTGGATGGTTTACACAAGTTAATTGAGTTGTGCATATTTGTTCTCAACACTGTTGTCTTCACATCTATTTCCCCATTGCTGGCAGCAGAAGTGATGGTGTCACAGATACAAAGACCAAGGCATAAACAAACAGGGAACAGATCATATCTACTTCCACATTTGGCAGATAGTTAAAGCGTTACTCCACATTTTTAATAGAATGTTTTAGTTCTTTGTTAAAATAGAAAAAAAGCCCTCAGGGTGTGGACTAATTAATGTATGTGGAACACATAATATGATGTAAACAAGCTTGGCTGGGATTTCTAAGGTGTTAACATTCCTAAAATATCAGACTTAAAAAAAGCATGTCAGGGGATTTTTTATATCCTCAGTGCTGACCTACAAAACATCCATGTCCTCACTTTTTCCTTATGTCTGGCTGTTTTTTTCCAAAAGGAAATGGGCAGAATAAGATACAAAGGACGCATATGAGAGTAGGGTATATTTATCCAGCTTTAGCACTTTTTGCCAGACACAAAAAGCTTCTTGTTGTGTCTGCCAGTGAGCCACAGGTTATAACCAAACCATAATGATCAGAAAGAGCTTAAAAGCTCTGTTTGTGGGCAATGTTATTGATCATTTTATGGTAATAATGCCTTTTAAAGGCTTTTTAAGACTCTTAAAACGAAAAATTAGAAAATGCAGTCGATGTTGTCGCCCTACTTAAAATCACTCCATGTCTGACCTAAAACAGTAATAGAACCAAATTCCAATGGAGCCTATCCCAGCTGTCATTGGCCAAGAGGCAGGTTACACCCTGGACAAGTTGCCAGGGCCACACAGAAAAGAAGGAAAAACCACACACAACACACAGCATATGATTGAGATTCTAATTTCTGTACAGCCATGTGTCTATGAAACACATAATCCAGCTCTATTGAATAAAGAAATATTCTGAATATTTAGTCATGCAGGATTTATGATGAAGGGACAGTCCTTTAAATCCCTAAAAAAAAACTACCAAATTTGCTGTCTGTCCTAGTGGGATATGGTTTGCGTCTGGCAAAGACAGGAGACGCGTGAGGTGGGGTAAAAGAAAGCTCTAGAAAGATGAAAGGCATTTATGGAGAAGGTTGTGTGCTGGTAATTTTACTGGCTTGTGTCAATGAGTGATGGTTTAATTTTTTGGGAGAAATGGTGGTGTGTCAGCAGCCTGATGTGTTTTACTTCAGCTGATCTGGTATCAAGGCCAGGGCCTTCTCATGGACCAGAGATTAGTTTCTGCTGCGTGGATGTCACGAGCAGGCGCTGAATAGACACAGGACACTGCTGAGGGACATCTTTGACGGATGACAGCCATTCTGCCGTCTTTATTGTCTTTCTATCATTCTGTCTCACTTCCTGCATACAGTCTGCACTCCTTTTTTCTGTTTCTTAAATTGAGTTGACGTCAGAATACACAGTTTATTACATTTTATATAGCATGTGTACAACTGGTCCCTCAGGTGCTTGTTTCTGCTGAAAACATATAAAAGACATCTGTGCATTTTAATAAATTCTCAGGGAAAGAGGGAATTGCGAATGCTTTCTTCATTAACAGAGGATGGGTGTGAAGTACGGCAAGCATCTTTCCCCTTTAGCTATCTATCGCTCCTGGCTGATCATTTTGTCTTTATGTTATTGAATTGTGTTCACTATGATGCTTCGGCATCTTTGGTCAGGTTGTCAGTGTCCATCTTGCATGCCTCAGCTAAGCTGATAACCCATGGCCTGTTCTAGATTGCCGTCAAATCGAGTCCACGACCTAAGTGCTATTAAGTTGACTCCAGACTAACACAGAGAGACTGGAATGTTGGTGACACACAGCCTGTTTCACCTTCCCTCTCAGCCGAACATTCAACCAGTGGCGAAAAGTTTGACGTGGAGTCAACAAATTAGCAAACCTGTGTAGGCGATGGAAAAACATTCCCTCACGACATAAAATCCTCTCTGTTGGCAGGATGCCACATGCTTCTTAATATGCCAGTCTGAAATGATGGGCCTGAGCTCTCAAATACGTTGGGGAAGTTTTAACTTTGCCCTCTACTATGAAGATCTATACCCACAAAACGATCTCTGTGCCTCTGGCTGAGGGACGGGCTTGGGGTTCTCCTCAAAGGAGATGGCTAAGACCTTCCTGTTGGTTGTCTTTAATACAGTTATGTTCTCTTTGGTAGAGGAAAAAGCAGCACTGTTTCTTAAAACCATTTTGGTTCAAGTAGCCACTATGAATGCTTGGTCCAGATAATACCTCAGCTAATACGACATATATTAGAAAATGTATTTCTCTAATATATTGTTTTACTGAGAAGCTATAGTCAATGAGATTCATTTTACAAAGTCTTTTTTTTTTGTAGTTGAAGGGATTTTAAGAGGAATTTGGTGCTTTGACACGTTACAGTTCGCTTCTTGATCATGTTTGAATGTATCAACTTTAGATTAGAAAACTTTATTAAGCAGTTGCCATGTTAGAAATAAATGGCCTTGAGAGCGCATTGAATGATTCTATCACTGTCATAACTGTTTTTTTTTATTTTCTCCATTATAACAACCTCTTCATGACTGGTAACACGCGACTGGTCCATTTTATGTGGCTCAAGCATTAAACTGACACTTTTTATGGAAGTGTGCACAGAGCCTGAAGAGGAAAACCTGAGATAACAAAGACAGCTGGTATTCACCTTCATGATAGCCATGATTTCTGCGCCGGGCCTTACTGTATGTCTTATAGAGCCAGGTGTGTTGAATTGTATTTGGAGGTCAAACCTGTAGTCATCAGAACAGAAGGGAAAAAATTAAACGCCACCGTAAAGTTACACTACACTATAGTATAAACTCAACTTGTGTTGAAACCTGCATTATAGAAGGCGACTCAGTAAATAGATATTAAGCTGTTTCTTGTTAGTTGTTGGGCAGTACTTTGGATCAGTCGGGGATCTTTTCTAACACAAAGACAAGCTCAAACTCATGGTCAGAAAATAAAAGCCATTGTAATGAAATATTGAATTACCTTGTTTGAAAATCACATCCAACAAACAGGGATGTATGTATGTTGTGAATTTAATTAAAGCTTTGGCAATTTCCCTGGAGTTCAGGTAAATTCAGAAAACACCCAATAACAACATGCTCAGTAATCTCTATAGTCATAATGTCTGAGTGTACACAAGCTGATTACTTCATGAATAAAACCTGTCAAATGCACACTCCATAAAGTCAACATTTATGAACTTGTTCAGTATTTGCTGATATTGTAAAGCGATAAATCAACTTAATGTTTATTAATGTGTGTGGCTGTGTCCTGGACTCCTGTACAATCGTATTTATAATGCCCAAATGTTGATTAGATTGCATTTAAAGATGTTCTCAGTGGTGGTCGATGAGTGTATTCCTGTCCCGAACTATTTATGCTTTTGTTTTTCCGTGCGTGTGCACAGATCCCTCATCCTCTTCTGGGTTGGGTTTTTAATTGCACTCTAACAGACATTTAATTGGATCTTCCATGAGAATATCTCCCCAGAGGATTTCAGGGTAAACCGTTGCCTGGCAGGCCTCAAGACGACACTGGGAAAAAACTGTCATGTTGTGTGACTGTAAACAACCAGAACCTGTCATTTTACTGTGTCACAAGATGTAACACAGGCACAGACACAAAATGAGAGAAATGGGTCTTTCCGCAGGGAGACATTGCTGATCTTAGAGGGGAAGTAAAAGGGGAGGACATGAAATAGTGAGTAAATGTGCCGCTCAGAATGTAGAACAGGCTGGAAGAGGCATTTGTTTTCTCGCAGTCTGGTCATCTCTTTCTTGTGCTTTGATTAAACTTGACAACACGTCTCTCCTTTCCTCCTAGGGTATCTATTTTTTCCAAAAACGTACACTAGATTAGATTGCAGAGCATTTCATCTAAGTGTGGCCTCCAAGAAACCTCCTTATTTTTCACTCACACACACACACACAATTTCTGACACACAACAACGAGTTGGCAAGTTTGTTTGTGGTTTTGTTTTTTTCTTTCATGTTCTTTTTTTTCTTTTTCTTTGAGCTAGGGTTGGGCCTTTTTGATGCCCTTGTTTCTTTGCTTTGTGGACTACTGGATGTCGCACTCTGTTCGTCTTGGTTTGGGCTCAAGAACGTTCGTCAACAGAGAGAGGATTTATTCTGTCCAGCTGTGTGTGGCTCCTGTGCGGGTCGATAGATCCAACGGCTACCTATTTTAGAGGAAGGACACCATGCTGTTTGTTTTGGCAGTGGGGGGGCAACCACTGTGAAGCAGGACAGACAATATGAAGAGACCATCAGAAAGGTCTCGAAAATAACATTTGTGCCATCAGTATGCAGTAAATGTATTCATGGCTGTATGTTCATGGTTCAAGCCCGAGTTGAGCATTTGTGCCTATTTGGGTTGTGTTGGCTTGTATATTCATGCATGGGTGTTCAGAGTTTGTTTGCTCATAAAGGAAGAGTGATTAGAAAGCACTCAGTTACCTTTACTGTGGGGGTCCAGTCTCAAAGACCCCAGAGGGCTGGATAAAGACTGTGGGTCACAGCGACGCTGGGGACTGGCTGTGCCACTGCCTGTTCCGAATCCATAAAGAGCGAGGGGCCTGAGGTTCTCGGCGGGCCTGTCAGCGCTCACGGCTGCTTAATGCCAGGGCGGGTCGCCCCGGGCACCGCCGAGGTCGGCCGCTGTTATGAAGAGGTCGAGGATTTGCACCGGGTAAACACACGAGCCCTCTCCCCGAGAATACAAAGCATCCGAGCCGCGATAACTGTCGGTGAAGAGCGCACACTGACAAAGCAGCGAGGCCAGGCTGGACAGCAAAGGGAGGAAGTGAGACAAAAGACAGGATTAACTTAATAATGGCAAAGATAGGCAGAGAGGAAGAGAGGGATAAAGAGAAGCAAGGAGCAGAATAGATGTGATAGTGGGAAAAAAAAAAGTAACCCGATGATTAACATGGGACTCAAACAAAAGGGTTGCCATCACAGTTCAATGCCTTCTCTGTCCGTTTCAACAGCAATTAAATGATTTCCCCTCTCTTATCTGGGCAGAGGCAGCGGAGGTGCGAAATTTCGACATGTACCTCAGACAACATCTAAAATATTACAGCAGAGTGTTGTTAATGAGTGAATCATCAGAGAGGGGCTTTGACACTGGCTGTAATTTCACCGGAGACGCTTTTTGTTCACTCAGACAGATGGGTTCACTCTTTTCATTCAAAAAGGCCAGAAGCGATCTCTCTCTTCTAATTCTACTCTATGTCCCCAAACATGTGGAGCCTTTCCGCGGGGCTAATTAATGCGTGCCGTAATTACAGTTAGCACAGATAGAAATTATGATCGTAGATTTCATTAGGATTCCACCATCCGACTCATTCCAAATGAGCGTGCACAGAGTTGGCCGATGTTGCGGTTTGAGAGAGCTTCTTGAGAGGACACGCTCAGCTCTCACCAAATCCAGGGAAATGTACAAGATGGGCTGTAGCGACGCAAATGATGGATTGAATTTGTGAAGGTGATTTTCTAACTCAAAGCAAATGTTCAGAGTTTTACAGTTGCATAGAAACGAGGAGTCTGCCACTGGCAGTGGGACTGGGTGGGGGCTCAGAGTGTGCTCAAATAGGCTGCTTGATTAGTCTGATGGGGGCAAAGGTGAGGTTCTGCCAGAAATGAGTTGGCTGAGACCTTGACTGCGACCGGGACAAGGGGAGAACTTGAGGCACGAGAGATGCTGGAGTGGGCTGAGGAATGCAGATGTGGTTGCCAGGCTGACATGTGATGCTAAAGGCGCACAGAATCCTGGAGTCATGTTGGCTGCACTTTTATTCCAACAATAGAAAAAAACTGGCTGATAAACCTGAAAATCACAGTCAAAAAGACTCACTCAGCGTATATTGTTATGTGTTATGTGCTCTTATTTTCCTTTCCCATAGATCCCAGTTTTTCCAACTTTCAGTACAGATAAATGTTCTCATTATTTCCCCGAACCATCAAAATTGCTGTGGATATTTATGGTAAAAGAGCTAGACTTCGACCTTTGAAAATGTTTACTTACAGCCATGCTTTTAAAAAGTATTTAGAAAACATTTTTTAATGAACATCTCTTAAAATAACCAAGTGTTTTAAACTCTGCCTCGAGATACGGTTGACTCTAACAGAAAACATTATACATATTTCATTAGCTCTTCATTATTTTTGGCTTGGCTGTCATCAACAAGTAAAATCTAAGTAAATATGTTTGATGGAAGTTAAAAAAAAAAAGTACAACATTTTCCTCTGGAATAGAGTAGAGCAGATACAAAATTAGACGTTCGGAAAGTACAAGGACCTCACTTTAGTGCTGAAGTCCTGCCTTCCTTCCTTATTTCCTACCATTCCAACGGAGAGAAGGAGTTTGAGTATGCAGCCAAGTTTTTAGAAAGTCGGTGGGAAAAGATTCATTAGGTCAGAGGATCAGACACAGTTGTTATGGTGAAAAAGATGAGTTAACAAATTGGGCTGGTCTTTGCGGCTCAGAGGAGCTTGTTAGCAAGCTAACATTCACAGATTAACACATAAAAACAATTCACAGCTAAGACGTGAGAATTACAGTGATTTTTTAAATATTTTACATTATAATTAAGATATTCTGGGGGAGGCATGTCATCATGTTTATTCTAAATCTAATCTGAGAGAAGAGACTAACCAATAGGCTGACATCACTAAACTTAATATAAGAAACGAAAGACCCAAAACGATTCCTCCACTTTGCAATGATCCTCTGTTTTTGCCGAGTTATAGTGTCCCACTCGCATGGGATGAGGGGTGGAATAACCACAAGCGCTTTTTTCCTAATAAATTGTACCTTTTCCTCAGCCTGGAGGATGGATTGGGATGAGGATGCTAATTTAAATGATTGAAACAACCTCTTTGTCCACGTCTTTCTATATTAACACACAAGTATGATTTATATATATATATTATTGAACTTGATACGATGGATATCTAAAAAAAATTTCTCTGTCTGAGTCAAACTGCTTTTCAGGACAAGCTAGTTTAAAGACAAGACTAGAGGTAGTCCTGCCTGTGCGTTACTTAGAGATATTGCCTGAATCCAAAAGAAATGTCTAAAGGCGTTATAACCAAGACTCATTTCTAGTCTTATGCTCTGTCTTTGTCCATAACAGGTGAAGTGCTTCGCATGGGGAGAATGTCGGGCCACTCTTTGAATGGTGGCTGGTCGTCCTGGAGTTCCTGGTCTCAGTGTAGCAGAGACTGCAGTCGGGGCATCCGGAGCAGAAAGAGAACGTGCAGTAACCCCGAGCCTCGGTATGGAGGTCAGACCTGCCTGGGAGCAGCGCAGGAGTATCAGGAGTGCAACATCAACCCGTGCCCAGGTAATACAGGAAGGCTTTTAAAGATACAGATGCAGCCATTTCAGTTCCAGATCCTAAAAACAATATACATTCTTTTCTTTTTTTCAATTAGGAAATGTTAGGAAAACATGCAGAAACTCACATGAAATTACACAAATCGGGTCTAAAATGGGGAGGATCTCCAAACAGATTCAGAAAGAAGTCTGGGTTTTCTATTTATGAAAATACTTAATCTTACATATGAATTAAAGTTGTTTTTTTATCATTGCTGCACAGCATTTTGACTAAATTCGATTAAATGCTTTGGCTCTTTCACTTATGATATATGTGTTTTTATAAGTGACGTGAAGAAATAATGTGTCTTTTGGTAAATGTTTGCAAGTCATAGAAACTATCCAGTGAAAATGAGATCGCTGTTTAAAATTTGGTCCAAATTATGAAGGTATCTTTAATACTTATAATAATATCAATAATGCTAATGATCAAAATAATGCACTACTATGACTCAAGAGGGGAATGAGAAATAAATATTCCCCAAAACATGTTAAATGCTGCACAGCACTGTAATTACATATAATTACAAAACTTGAAATTCGACACACGTGTCCTATGCACCCAGAAAGTCGATTTGGTTCTCTTTCATCTTCCTGCAAGGAAATTTTTTAAGCATGACCAACCACTCAAATAGTTCATCTTTAATTGCTCAATGATTATATCTCATGATATATCAATGTTCATGGTCTGCAAATTATTCAGTTGGTCAAAAATGTTCCTGTTGAGATGAAGAAGCTGTAAATGTACATTGATATTGACTTCTTGTATTTTGACTCCCAAAACTAGCAACCTCCGCCATGTTGAATATTTTGCCACGGACAGTTTAATTCAATTCAGCAGAGACCTAAGGTCATATATAAAAACTGGGACCTCAAACATTAATGGCTCTGAATGGAATAGAAAATTAAGCTTGCGCAAATGGGTATAATGTCACTGTAATCATATTAAATTGCCATATGTAAGGATAGATCTGACAAAAAGAATGAATATTCAGATTTCTGTCTGTGCGCACATACAGTTTGAGTCATTAAATCTAGTCACCGTTTTATTCATCTGGCCTCAGGAGTCAGGACCATGGCCAGATCTTTTTTTCACTCTGACAAATGCACAGCTCCACACTGTGTTTAAGCTACATTATCTTTTTCTTTTTTGATTAATGGATAAAGAATTACACTGACAAATTACTTACCAAATCATTTGAACCCACAAAAGAAATCAGTTGCAGATAAGAGGTGTGACGAAGACCCCAATTTATACCAAGAATCAAAGAGACAGTCCCTGTGGCACTCTAGTATGTAATTACAATGCTAGGTAATTACACTGCCAGCTATGGGAAGCCTTATTCTGTTGTGAAAAGCCCTGAGACAATACATTTCCAACACTCGTCTTGTTGAAGACAACAAGAGGAAGCTTTGTTATTAAAAGAATACTCTGTCTGACAAATGAAGTAAGCTGTCTAAATGGAAATCCAACACTCAGTTTGGCACAAAGCCCACCTGGTATGCAACTCAGGGGCCGTATATGCACGCAGGACGTTCTCTCAGATGATTAATTAATCAAGCCCCCTGGAGAAAGGCTTTGGTATCTCACTGGAAGCTTGGATCCGGGTGCCATCTCCAGCACCCACACTCTGTCTTCATAAGTGCTTCCAGGCTGTAAGCAAATGGAATAGACATGATAGTGAGCAGCCATCAATACCATTCTTACAGCCCGTTAATTCGCAAAGTGAAAGTTCACGCCATTCAGCTTCAGCCATTCAGTCTCTGATGAGATGGGTTGTCATCACCTGCTGGTTAAGAAAAAGGATTTGGATGAATCTTAGAGCTTAAGATTTGCTTCATCCAAAAAGATGAAAGGATTCCCCTTTGTGGAAAAGACAAATCATTTGCCTGAGTCTCCTGTGCAGCATCACTATTCTGATACATGTTGTGCATCCATTCCAGGATGTTGACAGTAATAATAGCTCAGGTACAGTGTGTTCACGAACAACACTGCACTCCTGTTGCTCAAAGGATCTGACTTCACCCAGCCTGAGTAGCAATGAATACTAATGTCTACTCAATTAGCACTCCCGCCAAAGTGAGACATCATTTTGATGTCGGCAGACTAATGCGAGTCGACCAATGAGCACTGATCAGGTGCCTTCCTGAATGCGCTATGAAACAAAAGCAGAAAAAAGATGTTATGCCTTTCATCCATCTTGTCCAGAAACAAATGAATCTGTGTTTTTATTGCATTTGCGCCTGAGATGAGACGATCCTTCATCAGGGGCCAGGCATCGACTTTTGTGTCACTCTGTGATAGAGAAATTACCCAGAGATGACAAAAAGCATTGGCAGCTCCAATTACCTGTTTAGTGCCTGCAGCCATCTTTAGTTTTTTAAAGGGAGTCTTAAAGGGAATGCCTCTCAGCCAAAATGAAATGTGGTTTTTAACAGATCATTTGAGAAGGATATTTTGCTCTACTACCATTTTATTTCTATTCTATTTCTCCCTCATCTGCTTCTGTTAGTACTTTTTTGGTGATGTGTTTATGTGTGTACCGTCACAATTATACGCCTCAGACATCTGTTACTGGTACTTGACATCACATAAAAGAGAACAACAACGACACGCCTCGGGATGCTTAGTTTATCTTCATTAATCATCAGAGGGACTGTGTAGGTTCAAGCATTATGGAGGTCAAGCATTTGCCGTAAAAGCCAGATGAAGCCCTCTTTATGGCACATCATAACACTTACTCTCACACATGCATTCAAATTCATTCAAAGCGCCTCATATCTGCCCCCATGCCGTTTGAAGTGGCTTGGAATGACTTCCAGTCCCTTGATGTTCAGGGGAAACGGTCTGTTCAAATGACCCGGGCAAATAGATCCTTAGAAATGTGAGGGCTTTTTAGAAACTCTTCCCAAACAGAACAAACATTTTAATTGACTTTTTTAGTGCATCGATGATTTGACACCGGTTTTCCTGCTTGCAGTCGACGGCAGTTGGTCATGCTGGTCTTCGTGGTCCAAGTGCTCGGTGACATGCGGCGGGGGACACTACATGAGGACCCGGACCTGCAGCAACCCCCCGCCGGCTTATGGAGGGGACATCTGCCTGGGCCTCCACACCGAGGAGGCACTATGCAACACGCAGGCTTGCCCAGGTACGCACAAACTCACAACCACTCAAACCCACCTGTTATCAGCAGCTTAGTGCCCCCACACTCAGCAATCCATCACATGTCCGTCGCCTGTTTTCTTTCCTTCCTCTCAGCCCCTCAGAGGCCATTCGTGCATCACTAATGTGCACAAAGGAAAACTGTTGCGCAGCATGCTGTAAAATGTGCTGTCGTTCCTGTTCCCAGAGAGCTGGTCCAGCTGGTCGGAGTGGTCCCACTGTGACTCCAGCGGCTCGCAGCTGCGCGTGCGCCACTGCGATGTCCTCTTCCCCACCGGAAACCAGTGCACGGGAAACAACAGCGAGACCAGGCCCTGCTCCCCCGACTCTAATTTCATACCAGGTGATCACGCAGTTACGCAGCACGGGAGCGCACATGAGCTCCGTTAATGTCACGGGCACTCGTGCATGTCTGAGCACACACGCACCCCGCCCACCAGCACCATATGCCCACAGCAGTAATTGAGTTCATTTCCAAGAATCCTGTGATAATGAAATGCATTATTGATTCCTCTGAGGGAAGTGTCTTGTGGCAGGGATCAGGTTTAGCGACAGGGCAGCCCCTTGCAGACAGTTGGGATTAGTAGTGTTGTGAACAAGGACTTCTGAGTGTGGTAGGATTATTGATTACAAAGGGGCTATGAACTTAGGAGCCATACTTAAGGCATATTATTACATATGCTGAAATTGTTGCATGAAAATGGACATAGTCTTACTATCTCAGATTTGTACCTACACAGTTATTGTTCTAAAACAGATGCATTTCCCTCAACATATATATATGCTCACTGAAGCCCTGTCGTGCTCTGACACCTGTGTTTCCATGACAATTTCATTTTTAATGTTGAGGCAGATATAGCATGTGTACGTGCTTCTTTTCATTTATTCAGTCAATGTAGCTATGACAAAAATGTAGATTTAGAACGAATAAATTAAGTTAACAGGCGAAAACTGGTGAAATAAGAAAATTATACTGACTTTATAAAGACAGTGAAACAGTTCACTGGGGCTCCCAAAACTCTGGCTTTGTCTCCAGATGGATGAAAGTAGCCCAAATAGGAAGAAGCAGCATGACCACTCAATTTAAAAAACCTTTAGCCCTGTAAAAAGATTACATAAACTTTTTTTGGGCTCAAAGATGGATAGCACAGCAACTAATTTGTGTTCAATTAGCAGATTCTAATCTATTCAATTATATTAGTCTTTTTTCATCCTTTAGATCCGTTAGATTATGGCACCAAATCTGGTTAATTATATTTGTGGTTATGTGTGTGCAGTTTTGTAAAACAGCACCCAAGACAGCCAATGAAAAAGCTTGCTACGTTGTGTCATTCTTTTATCCTATTTTTAAGAAATTATGTCTCTTTAGTCACAGAATGCTGTACTTGCCCAAATTAAATGTTTCCAACTAGGCATCAATGGACTCGCTCTGAAACTAATTGGGTTTTGGTTTACACGTCAAATAAATAGGGGCCAAGAGGCATTTTTTCTGTGCTGTTTACACCACTACTACCAGAAAGAGTCCAGTGGGTTTATTCATTTAAAAGCATCATACAGCAACATAGTCAATATGTGCATTATAGTAGCAGTTAATGTGCACACAAGAAGTGTTGGAAAAACAAATATTTAATCGATGGTTATTTTATTCCTAACCAGACTGGCCAGGTTGAGTTGTGGAATTTACATTCTGTACAGGTCAGCTGCTGGACTTGAACAATCGGGTGCCTGGCAACCGTGATCATGTTCTGCACTGGGATTTTTATTTGCTTTTAACACAGGAGAGTCAAACATTCCATTTTCTGCAGATCACAAACACCCATCATATTCTAATTAGCCTGTTATTATGTTGTACAGTAACATTCTGTTGTCAGATGAGGTGGCAGTTGTCTTTGTTTACAGAATCATTCATTTCAGTTTCACAAAATTAGTAACAAACCGGCACGTTATTTTATCAGAGTGTGATATTGTTTGTTCGCATACAATACACCTTTCTCTATTCACTCACTGGAAGTATCCCTCTCCCAGTGGGTTGGTGAAATGTGTTAATTCATTCCTGGCAGCTAAGGGGATTTTGTTTGGATTTTGTAGTTTTAGTGATAAATGGGGAAAACAATATTTGTGAGTGTGTGTTTGTGTAGTTGATAAAAAAACATTTAAAAAACATTTAAAACTTCTCTTTACAGTCAGTTCCTAATACAAATGGGCTGAACAGGTAATCAACAAAAGTGACAGTTTTCAATTTTGATTATATTTTTTTAATTTTACTTCTAAAACTGAAATTTGCATCTTTATTGTATTAGAAGGAATCCAATGAGAAGCCCCCAGTTACCTGTACAAATAAAACTAACCATATAAAGAGGAAAAACAACAACAGCACCAGGAACAGTCTTCCAGCTGGAAGCTAAAAGCCTATCTGTTGTTTAGTAAAGCGTACCACGGCAAGCTTACAGTTTTCACAGTCACCACACAAGAACCATTCACAGATCATTTACAGGCAGGTCAAGCCTTTAGATTTTAGTGTAGGTAATCATAGCCTCATGTAGCAACATATGGACACCTCAAAAGCTTTTAGAATTATTTTTTTTAAACTGAGCTCCTTAGTTAAAAAAGTCAAACCTAAATGTACTCATGATAAAAGGCTAACATTCTGGGAGAACTGTCCTATGATTACAGCAAACTTTCACACACCATTAGTATTGACATCTGCCTCAACAGGCATCTCCTTATTGACAGTTAGTAATGCGAGACAGAAAAGTATTGATCGCTGCATCTCTGCTAAACAGAGATCATTAAAACCCCTCCCTTTTTCTTTTTTACAAAGGATGCTTTTACATGGCAATGTATAACTGGGAACACTGTAAGCAATGTAAAAGGACGGTATATTTTTGCAGAGGGCAATGCAGTCATATACCATGATCATTACACATCAGCTGTGGTTATTATTAATAGAAAGAAAAAGCAATTGATTGAAGCTCATATTTGTAATCTTTCTCTTTTAATTAGTGGGGATATAAGTCTCATGAAAACCTTTGCAGATCTTTAGTGAATTACCTATTTGCCTTTTTATCTCATCATCCATCCCCTTTTATGGGAGAGGTAGTCCATTAAGGTTCATTAACAACATCTTGTACTTCATTTCCTTTTAATGGGAATAGATACTTTTTATAAACCTCTCCAGGTACTACAGCCATGATTAGCTTTTGGAGTTTTACGATTATCTGTTTGGAAGTGAGTACAGCTGTCATCTTCCCACTAACCTTCAGGAGAACCATTTGTCATGTTAGCAGGGGGTGTATTTCTAAGGTTTTTCTTGTTTTGGCTCTAATATCGCTGCCTTTTGGTGTTTCTCTTTCTTTGTCAGAAGTCTCAATTGCACGCTCCAGTCAGGAGGAAAGGCGCTGTGGAGGTAATTTATGTTTGCATGCATGAGTCTGTGTGACACAAAGACAGAAAATGGGAGAGTACCATACTTGCTGTACCACATGTTGAGTATTATCTGTAACGAGTTAGTGTTTGAACATCATAGCAGAGTGTATGTATTCACATTCAGTAATACAAACTTGACTTTTTTGTGCTTTATTCCTCTTAAATCTACAGTGCATAATTCATGATCTATTCTTCATCCTGTGTGAAATATGCAAGTGATTCATACGACAAAGAGAACAAGTTCTTGTTTCCTCTAGAATACTGTATAACCCAAAGAAGACTGCTGGTTTTCATGGATTCATAAATTCTGACTCAAAGATTCCAAACAGATCTGGACCCATTTGAAAGTGTTTGCCCTGAGAAATGAAATCAGTTGCAGAAATGCATCACTGATCCACATAGCACACATTAGCCTGACGCTATTTACAGAGGAGTTAGTTTGCAAATAGTCTAATCCAACAACTGATCAATTTTACCACTGTACTCCAATGGGATGCGACCAATTTAATCCATCCTGTTGTAAAGAAAAGTACTCGGTGTACGAGGGAATAACTTAACATTTAGCTATACCAGTGCTAATTTGCAGTCTCCTCTGCGCTCTCTGTGGCATGTGTAACCTGCAGCCCACCTCTTCCTGTACCAGTTGGTACCACTAACTGGCTCTTCGCCTAGTGCTGTTTTAAAACAGAATGAGGCAGATTCCATTGCCTGAGCATGTTCATCTCAGCATTCTAATACATACCCTGCATACCCTAATCTATTACCTATTTAGTCTAATACTGTACCCTAATTTACCAAAAAGGACCACAAGGTGCTGTTGAATGATATATGGAACTGTGTATTGATAAATGATAATAATATAATAATAAATACATTTACTAATAAACTCTTATTTATCTGTAACCAGATAATTCCTCAATGGGTCAAAAGTTTATCTTTATATTTTTAGTGATTCAATCTCCAGCAAGGAAAACACAGTTATTTAATTATCTGTTAAAAAAGTTGCATGATCAAGCATGACTTGAGGTATTTTACATAGGTCAAAAGTAGCACGATTTATCATTTTCACTTCCCACCTCTGTGGAATATAAAATTCTGTATTAAAATACGAAAAAGTTCCATCATTTCCATGATAGGCTCTTCCACTCAGATAAGGATCAGGGTCACCCCACTGACTATGAAAGGTGATAACATGTCTTGCGGTAAAAAGAAGACATAGAATATATGAACACAATTCCAATGTATATAAAATGTATATATATCGGGAATATATTTGGATGTTTTGTTGTAGAATCTGCTTAATTTAAGTTCCTTGTCTCCTGCCTCCCATTCCCACCGACTTTCTATCTCTTTCCAGATTTCAACCTTTTCCACATGATCGCTGTGGGGCTAAGCAGCTCCATTCTGGGCTGCCTGGTGACCCTGCTGGTGTACTCGTACTGCCAGCGCTACCAGCAGCAGTCCCACGACGCCACCGTCATCCACCCCATCTCTGCCGCCCCCCTCAACACCAGCATCACCAACCACATCAACAAACTGGACAAATATGACACAGTGGAAGCCATCAAGGTCTGTAGAGTGATTTGTTCTGGGTTCACCACGGGTCACGCTTGACAGATGTTCACACGAGCCGAGGCAAAGCTTCAGTTTTCATTTCTCCCCTCTTTGGCTTAATCAATTGATGTCACACTTCCAGTCTGAGTGGTGAGCAACATTTGCCTCCTCCTCCAGTGTCAGTGGTGACTGAATAGAATTGTTACCAAATGAGTCGGCCACTCCACCTTCAGTCGCACTCTATAGTATAATAACCGATCGACAATTATGCGTTTGTCCTGTTCTCCTGTGCTCCTCAACCGTACGTCTGACTGTGTGTGACTTTTGTCTGTGTTAGTGGTTGTACACTGCTTTCTCATGACATACAAATACAATTTACTTGTCCAAGCGTGGGCATGTAATCAGGGAAAGGACCCTGTGTCCGCACATGTCCTTATCCTCTCCAGGTCTTCGTGTCACATTGGCATCCTGAAGTCAAAACAGTCTGATGTATAAGAGCAAGTGAAGGAGATTTAGCCACTCATGGTATAAACAGCCTCTTTTCCGCTAATACGTCTGGCCTTTAGTGCCAAGCCAGTTGGCTTATTTGGCCAATTAGTGGTTGTCCACAGGCAGTTAGGGCTCTGGCTCTTTATTCGTTAAGCAAACCGTTCTCTGTATTGAAATAGTTTTAGCTACTTTAACTTCCTATGCAGTTTTAACCCTGAATCCCAAGGTGTATTAGGCATAGCTGAAGTTAGCTGAGTTTAAAATGTTAACCGTTTGCCAAAATCAACCTTACTTACTGGTCTACAGTCTGTCAGATCTCTTTCAAGAACAATGGGAAACAGCTTTACTTTGTCTTAGCTTGCAAATGAAAACTTCAACACCTGTCAAGCTCATTTCTCACCTTCCTGATATAAAGCCTACAAATGAACTGTAGCAGAATAAAAAGAGATCTTAACAACCATTTGTCTTTGCTTTCAGACGTTGCTGTCAAATTATATTAAACTAAAATACCCTAACTTTTCTTTGTTTCGCAGCTTCACTCTCAATATTTTCAAACAGCAGGAATGACTTTTAACCTGAAAAGGGAGGATTTTCATACCGCTACACAATGATTGGAATATTAGTTACTTTAGGTTGTGCCGGTTTAAAACTGGGGTTCTAAGTCAAATCCAATACAAATATAATGAGGAGTAAAGCTACTTATAAATTAGTTCTTGTAGATTCTAAAGTTTACTTGCCGTGGCTTTCAGATAAAGGGTCATTGACCTTTGTGATATGATATAAAGTAATGTTCGCCCAAAAGCTTTCTGTCCTCTGTTAGCTCATCATTTTTAGCTAGTTTTAGTTTTTCTATTGCGTGACAACAAAACAGTCTGTAGAGTGCAAAAGAGACAAAGTTTGGTTACCATAGTCTAGAGAAATGAGTTATAAGTCCATTGGACCTCGTCTTTTACCTGCTAATAATATTTTATTTCTTGTTGAATTGGTGGACTAAAGGGGTTTTACAGCCTCCCAAATAGCCAGTTAGAGCAAGTATTTTGGATGACAGATATGGTGTTCGGTTTTGAAAACGAAAAACTGCTGTTGAAGTCGTGAACTTTGGGTAATTCCTTCTTAAGGGTTTAAAGGACTTAGCCACAGGTTCTGGAAAGTGGCGCCACTTCTAAAGTGCAATACAGTGTAACAGAACTCCAGAACATCCCGGGCAGACTCCCATTTACGAAGCACAAGCCTTTCTTCGGCATGAATCTGTCAATTTTTTTTTTTTTTGACAAGTCATTATGATGTATATAGCTGACTTAACGCCTTCTCGTCAGTGAGTTCAATAAAAGTAAATCAATTGAAAGGGTGGAACTAAAATTGTTGATGTATGAATAATTAGATTATGGTCTGATGCTGATGAAGCTCCATGGCAGAGCATGACATGATTGACGAAAGGGATAGAACAGAGCCCCTCAGAGTCTAGACACCAGAAGGAGGTGAGCAATATGGTAGGTGGAAGACTCCTTATGAGGCCGGGTTGTATGAGAGTCAATCTGAAGGAGGAACGAAAGAGCAAGAGTGAGTTTGGAAAAGGATAGGGAACATAACAGATGAGACGAGTACCGGACCAGGGCGGCAATGTCAGAATTATTGATGCTGACAGTTTGACAGCACAGGAAAATGGAAATGAGGAGGAAAAGTGAGAATGCCAGGTAATAAGAGCAGGCATTGGAGAATAGAGCTTTCTTAATGAACTTGCTGTATGCAAACAATTCATCTGATGGGCCATCTCCATAATGAAATAGATAAGTATCCCAAAGATGAGTATTTATGCACAGTCCCTTTTCAGCACTTCACTTTTATATAACTATGAGCCCTGTGAATAAAAGAAAGATGCCTCCAAACAATGGCTGACAAAATAATAGGTCATATCCCATCGGCTCCATCCATCCTCTGTACATAGTGTACAACTAAAAATCTTAGTGACCACGGTGTTCTAATTCTACCATTTATCAAAGCAGACAAATGTGGACACTATTTATTTTCCCTACGTAGAAATGGGGCTAGAATAAATCAGATAATTAATCATAATATTTTATTTCTAAGTCTCAGAAAACAGAGACTGTTGAGTGAACTTGGTCAATATTTGGATCTCTGTTTGTGAATCCGCTCAACAAATCTAAGAAAACTGAATGTGATTTTCTTTTGTCTGCAGGTGTGAGGAGGCTTCGTCTCTTGTGCAATTACAGTCAGGGGTATTGGGCATAATTCAGTTAGTGCTGTTACAGATGGAGCCAGATTTGACTGTAGACAGTGCATGCGAAAATCCAAACAGAGCTGCGTGACAAATGACTGAATTATCAAGAGCACGTTCTGCCTCTAACTCTCAATCACAAAGCCTAAACAACCTCATGCCGCAGTGAATTTTCAACCAATAATGTGCAAAAAGCATAAAACGCCTCTTTTCAGTCCTTATAGGAGGAAGTGATGCACACCTGATGCCATATTTCAGGCTGTTTGGTTCAGACTCTCTCGCTGATGCTACATTAGTCAGTATGTCACAGGCATCTCTCATAATGGATGTTTTTCCAGCAGTCTAGTTAATCATCACAGAGATAGGATTCTATTTTACTGTAGTTTTACATACAATTTCACTGATTTCCAGGCTTCCTATGAGAGAAAATGTGGCCTTAGAAATGTGCTGAGGATGACTCTTGCTCATTCCTGTCCTCCCTGCAGCCAGATGTGTCGGTACTCTTGCCTCTGGATGACCCTGCCATGCACCAGCCTCTCTCTGCTAACATGGGGGTGTCCATGCGTGGACTGGAGATATTCTACTAACCACTGACTTCTACAACATCCCGCTTCTTGACCCCCAACCCCAACAACTCTCTGATCCCAACCACTACTACTTCCTCCTCCCCAATGTGCCCTGCCTTTCCACTTCCTGTGGCATTCCCTGTGTGTGGCAGGTTGTAGTCACAAACTCTCTTTCACTGTTCAGCCCCTTTCATCTTTCCATCACAGCTGCCTCCCCTCTCCTTCCTGGCTTGTGAGAAGGCAGTGTATCCCTACCTTTTTGTTCTCTTCCAACAAACGCTCGCATTTGCATGTCTTTTTCATGTTTGTCCTTCTCGTTTGGTTGTGTTTTTAATCAACGGTTTGATTTGATTATCCGAGGAGAACTCATTGTGATGTTGGTTAAGTAAAATCCTCTGTTACCTCTCTATCTCTAACAGCAATTTGGAAGTTAAAGCCAACTTTGTCAAACGCAACCAAGGCTCAAACTCCATCATCCTTAAGCTACTCAAAAGCATTTAAAGGAAGAGGACGACGTAGATCTGGCTAACAAGAATTGCTGCACAGCTGTTTTAAAGCAGCCATGGGGCCGCCTGCAGAAATGCATAACAGTCTGCAGGACCGCATGAGAGCTGATTACATTCCCTCTGTGTGCAAATCACATAATGGGGAAGGCAGCAAAATATATGAGTTTTTTCCTCCGCACACTTGTTTCCTATCAGTGTCTGTCAGAAACATCCATCAGCGGCAATTGCAACATCATCAACCGCACTGCCCCGAGGGACTCCCGTCACACTCTCAGCCACCACAGACTGGAGCTGAGCACATCTGTATGCCAAATTGCTGGTGTTGTATCGAGCAGTGCATCAGACGCCTGTTCCACGCGTACCCCGTCATACAGGATGACCCCATGGCTCTTCCTTATTGTTTAACAGAAAATTCACTCTGTTTTGATCCATTTTCATAGCTTTGATTGTCCTGGAGGACCAACAATCCGAGGGCCATAAAAACTGCTGATGCTGGGTATTAGAGATGACAGAGGTGGACATTCGGAAGCCCATCAAAATAATTTAGCCCTGTGGTGGCTCATCATTTTTCCAGCCTGTTTGCCAATGCTTTGACCTTGCTCAGCGAAATGAATGTTTCGTTCACTGAGCAGTCTCCCCATTGATTTGTGTTGTGCCTTTTTTATGTTTGTTTTTTTTTTAATCATACTTTTGCTGCTTTGTTTTTGTTGTTCCGTTTTGCCGAGTGTTTCATGCAAATCCATACTGACTCCTATTTCTCCTCTCCATCTATTTATTTTTGCTCATTTTTAGGCTTTCAACAAAAACAATCTGCTTCTGGAGGAAAGAAATAAGTACTTCAACCCCCAGCTTGCCGGGAAAACCTATACCAATGCATACTTCACCGACCTCAACACCTATGATGACTATTGACCCCAGACTCCATGCCACAGCGGGGACCCTGACCCTATCATCCGTTCTGACTGTATTCTTTTCTTTGTGCTTTGTATTGAGATTCGTGACACCATACGTGGGATTGTCTCGCTCTGAGACTTTATGGCAGCTGGTATGTAACGAAAACACAGACGCACAGCGTTGCCAACAGAGGGAAACACCCACCTTTTCTCAGGTGCCTTGAGTACACTTGGAAAGCTCAATAGCTGGAGGCATATATTGCCTTGACTCTCATTGAGACGTGGACAAATCGTTCTCCTAATGTGGACACAAAGGGAAAAAGAAGAACCCTAAGATACTCCGTGAAATGCGATCCCTTTCAACTTTCCTGTGATGCCTCTAAATCTGACCTGTATTTGTAATGATGGGAAATAACCACATATCGCTTTGCATGACTTCACCTGACATGTTTCCTCTGCTGTTTTGTCTCATTTTGCATGATGGATTACATTCCAGGGTTCCAGGGACATTTTGATTCTCTTGGGTGCTACACCGGCTTCAGAAGTTGTAAAACAAAGCAGTGCTGATGCTGGGTGGGTTTCATCATTTACTGCTGCAGCAATGACCAGATGGATCAATGTACAACCCTGTCCTGGAATCAGGATGTAGATATTTGAAATTTGTGCTCAAGGTTGTCCATATCTTTTGTTTTCTTTTGCTTCATGTTTCTATTGCAGCTAGAATAGGTCGAGCTGTCGATGTGAAATTGTTTTCAAACATTACTTTTGCTTTTAAAAGCTGCATATGTGTTTTGTACAGAAACCTTAGTTTCAAGCATATGTCTGTAGAGTTTTTCTAAATGCATTTATTCAGTGTCTCAAGTGTTTGAACATTTCCTTTGAGAAGAAAAATGGTTTATGTGTGCTTTCCAGCAAGTAATTGGGAGTATTATTAGCAGCCTGCATCAGTTAGCCTTCGTCATAGTACTTTTTATATATTTTTTGTAAAAAAGAAAAAAAAATGCTGTTTTTGAATTTTGATAGTGTTGACTATTCCTTTGGCTTCTGAGTTGAATATGTATCTGTGAGAGCAGAGTGTTAACAGCATTAACTGTACAGAGAGAAAGCAGCAAAAGCTGTTTTCCTTATCCCTTACTTGAGTGCTGCCCGTGTATTGTAAAATGAAATCAGACATTTCTGTTCAACTATTGAGTTTCTCATTGGTTTAGTTGCAACTAACTCTTTTTACATGTTTGCTTGTGTTACTGTGCATAAATTAAAACTGCTTCATAAAATACTTGTCCACTGCTACTTTATAACCGACTGAGTGGTCCTCTAAAGCAATTAATTAATTCTATCGCATAAAGTATGTTTTATGTACAGGTCAAATGAATGAATTAAGAAAACCAGTCTGTTAAACTGAAAATAGACAATAATGTAAAGTGTTCTCTTTAGAACTGAGGTACTTTTTGTTTGCCTGCTTCTGACCACGTTGGAGACTTCAAGCAAAAACCACAGAACAATAAACACGCAACAGCAAATTCATAAATCATCTTAAACCAGAGAAAAATACTCTTACCGCCTGCTTTTTAAAGAAGTCTTCAACGGGACCGAGTGGTGACAAATGGCATCTGCAGCAGTGGAAAGATACCTGAAAGAAACTAATGGCAGCAGGCAGTGTGGGAAAGGTGACTGGGGAGCAGTTGAAAGTCCAAACTCTCATCTGTATGATGAGAGTGATACCACAGTGATACCACACGCAGAGCTGTGCTCCATCAACCTTCAACCTGACATCCCGTCTGTGTGCTGAGGGTAATGGAGGGGCGTTATTAATCACCCTGTTGTTTGGTCAGCCTGACTTCGGAGAATTAATCTCTTCCTTTCAACTTCATTCTCGCGATCTGAGAGGGGAGCGGTGCACGAGCGGGCGCACAGGTGGTCAGGGGGCTAAAGGACAATAAGTGTTGTGGTGCGTGTTGTGTGCATCTACTGTAAATGTGTGTTTGGGTTTCGAGAAGGAGTGTTTGTCGCTGTAAAAATGCCTGCATGTCGCTCTCATTGGTTATCCCTCAGGAGGTCTTTTCAGACATGTTGGGTAAATGAACCAGTCCCGCCTTGACCTCCCCTAAACTTTGACTGACAAACTGGAAGGAGAAACATGCCTACCCCGCAGACACCCCCCCCCACACACGCAGCCATCCACGCAGCGCCGCACTGCTCCGCCGCAGCTTTCATCCTTCCATGAATTTTCCAACAACGTGAGCTACGCAGCTCATAGTCAGTCAGACACATGTGACATTCCACTTCGACAGCAGGCCCAAGGACGATAAATGACTCTCCCAAAGTGGCATTTGAGGACTGCTACAGTTCATAGCTAAAGGTTACAAGAGCAGGGCTCGCGTCTGACTGTGCGAGTGCTCGCGTGTGCATCAAAGATGTCATGTGTGTCATCTCTAATTTGTAATTTATGCATGCAGTAGGCTTCATGAGAATGAGACTGTTGAACTTTGGGGCTGACAGAGAGCTAAATACTAATTACATTGGTTTATCCCTGACTGGAAGGCTGATGAGTTTCGTTTGTTTATTTTTACTATTTTAGTCCAAATGACAGCTTTGGTTAATCACAAAAGCTACCTGAAAAGTAATGACATCTCCATCACCTCGAGCTGCACTTGTATTCATGCAAATTAGCAGATATAACAGAAATAAATACAGGGAATATATGAAACTCTTGGATAAGAGAAAAGTTTTATAGCATTTAACTTTTTTTTACTGGTAATTTACTTTTTAGACTTTAGTTTGTGTAACTTTTTCCCAAAAAATGAGTCCAACCTGCCTGTGCCCTAAGGTCATTTGGGCAGCTTACACACAGCAAGGCAAAAGTGAGGGAGATGGTTTCCGTAAGGCGGCTAACACTGCACAAACGCGTTACTGAACAACTATACCCCAAAGTATAACATCGGCTGGATGTTAAAGTAACCGCTCAACGCTGTGAAGATGCTGTGGAACAAATCAGAAGTTACACGGCTGGTAATTCTTGGAGAAGACCGCGTGCCGTCTGCGCGGCAAAGTATTTTTGTGCAAAGACACTGTGATGAGTGTGCGCTGTCGAGTTGTGTTTGTATGAGACTGGAGACGTGGTGGAAGTGGATCTCGACTGAAGAGCCTCAGGGAAGTCTGAAGAGCGCTGAACAATTTATGAGCTGCCATGAAGTCTTGTGTTTTTTCCACTTGGAAAATAACAGTGATTACCGATGCCTGTCATGAAGAAGAATCCTTGACGTGGATGGGTAAGGGTTAGACATTAAATTCTACAATGTATTACACCTACTGTGTATCTCTCCTCTCGAGACCAAGGTAATTTTATTTGTTGTTACTTTGAGGCTCGAAATAGACCAGCTCCGACATAATATACTTTAACTACCCCAAAGTGTATGAGAGCATCCCCTTAAGTGTTTTTCTTTCTCTGCCTGTGCCTGTAGTTTTGAAGCAAATATTCCCTAATGCAGCTTCATTTCAGATAAGCACGAGTGTGTGCTGCAATCAACAGATTTTTCAAAGCAGCCGTAATCTCTGCAGCCTTCTAGCTGCCACGTTAAAAAAGCTGTTTTTTGTTTCTGTGGCATCTGTTTGGAAAATGATGTTTTTGCCACGATACTCAAATTCTACAAATCTTTTCTGCTGTCAGTGTATCTTTCCCAGCATCTAGGAGCGACAAACCTGCCTCCCGTATATTGCCTGCACTCTGTTTTTCATTCCAGACAGAATAAAGCACAACTTCCCAACCAGCCAAATACGTGTGGGCTCAAAGGAAGCTGGCACCACACCGCCACTTCCGTCACGCCAGACTGAGGGATGAATGTCATCTTAGACTCTAATGCCAGTTGAGAGATGCCACCATAGATTCTATCCCAGGACATCTGGAATCCCAGGTGCCCGTCTTGCGGATTCAGGTCTGGGCTCCAGGAAGCCAAGAGTCCTGGTGGATGCCAAAAGCTCCACAACGCTGGCTAAGCCTTTTAAAGCTTATCAGCCCCACCACAACCCCTTCATGGGCCTATTCACCTCAATCAAAGCTGTTGTTTAGGTAATAAGCCAAGATGGCGGATATAGCTGCGCTCCAATTACCCACCGAGTCTCCTTCGTCTTCCCCTGCCAGCTTCACAACAAGTCCTGATTCTCCTCGGCACGGCCAGCTGCTCTGGCGCTGCTCCCTTTCCTCTGTATCCGCGCTGTGGGAGACCTTTCACAACAGAGGGGCTCTGTCAGTGCTAGATTCACTCACAAGGGCTATTGATGACTGCCTCAGTGTGGAACCGGTCTTATCAACAGTGCGAAGGTGTCACTAAAACGTCCAGTGTCACCGGTGCTCAGTGAACACAGCCAGACCTTTTCAGTCGCAAAAGGATTTGGTTTAGAGTTGGCTTTAAAGTCAAACCTCTTGAAAAAAGCGTCCTACTCCCCTAAGACAAGACCAAATGACTAAAAAGCTTGAGAGAAACACAATATCATATTGAGAGTCACTAGAAAACGTTGTTGCATATAAGTAATAACATCAAATTTGATATTTCTCATAGTATATAATGTATATTTCAATATTGGTCGTGATAATTTAGTGGAGAGAAAACTGGACAGATTTGACTAATTTTGACACTTGTTACATGTTTCTACATGTGTGTGAATTAAAATATGTTCTGATTAATCTTGAAATAAAAGGTTATTTAAAGCAAAATTCTTAAAAGGTCATTTTTGTTTTGTTTTGCAATGGGGCCTTACATTAACCTGCCACTCCAACATTTCAAAACACAGAAGAAATACACATTCAAATGAATCCTTGACAAAGGATTGCGAAGAATGGAAATGTTTTGGATTATTGGAAACTCCAGAAAAAGACATTTCAAGTACACCAAATATTATACATTAGAGTCGAGACACTTGACGGATTAAAAAAAACTAAGTTAAATACCGTACTTAACTTACTTTTGCATAAAATGTTAGGACGTTTTCTGTTTTCATTACTTTACTGTGGGTAAACGCAAT